GCGGGGCCGGGAGGTGGCCTTGGGGGAGGCCGGTTTGCGCAGAGAGGGGGTCTGGTGCCCTCTCCTGGGGCAGCCCTTTAAAAGCACCCTGGCTTTGAGAATAAATAAGCAATTAATAGATCCTTCTGTCTGAGACGGGATGCGGTGTTTATCAGGGCTGCGGGTTCTTGTGTTTTGGAGGTTTCGGATGTGCCATAGGTTACCCAAAGTTACACCGGGGTGGAGAGCCCTCTGTCCTGCGCTGCCCTCAGAGCATCGCGTTTTGCTGGCGAGGCTTTTTTGGGGTTCAGCCGGAAGCTCTCACCTCTTCCGAGTCAAAGCATCAGGTCCAGCTCCTTGAGATGGTCCTCGGTGAAAATAAAGCCCTTCAGAGCTGCGCGAAGGCTGGGGTCCGGGATCAGCGCCATCCCGGTTTTCCGTGGTGGAAGCCGTGGGGCCGTCATTTGGTTGTTGCACCACCCGCCCCGGTCTGGGTTTTTTTGGGGCATAGGGAGAAGGAAAAGGGAAGATCAGTGAGGAGGAAGAATTTTCATCAGCTGAAGGCAGTGTGTGTGCGTGTGTACCCCTGCTGCAATGACAAACTAGAGCAGAGCGCTTCATTTCTTAAAGTGCTTTTTTTCTTCTTTTTTTTTTTTATTTTTTGCATTGACTGGATACATTTCAAATGAAAATGTTTGCATATTTTTATTTTTTTTCTTCCCTGAAATTGCTTCTAATTTACCTTTTTCTGGCCACATTCGGTTTTTCAGTTGGCGGGCGCTCTTTTCTGGGGGTAAATTAATTAAACTGAAAATTTCCACTTAGCTAATTGTATAGCTTTGCGTCGCCCTGCCAGCCCTCCTCGGTGCATGGACCTCATCCCAACGCTGGGAAGGGGACTCCTCATCTGGTTTTTTACTGGGAGCAGAGGGGCTTCTGAACAGCCGGGGGGCTGCGTTGCACGGGGCAAGCGAGCGCGGAGGTTGAGTGAACCGGACAGAGTCCAGCAGGGAGGTCGTGGGTCTCGAACGCTGCGGCGTGTGCAGGATTTGTCCCCTTTTCTGGAAGGGAGGGATGCAGAAAATCCTTTTGCAGTGGGGCTGTGGCTGCAGGCAGGGGGATGCATGGACACGGGTGTCACCCAGCGTGACACTGCTGGGGACAAAATGAGCTCCCACTTCTATTATAACATCCAGCTTGGAGGGATTAAGCATCTGAGGTCAACCTGGCCTCAGACAGGAGTTATCCAAATAGCTCCTGTTACTTATTTCTTTATTTTAACTCAGTTTTGATTCATTTTGCATCCACGGTTCTTTCCCTGAGATGCTCTGTAACCTTCTGGCTTCGGGGAAGGGATTTTAAAAGGTCAGGTTTGCTTTTCTTTGTTTTTTTCTTTTGTGTGTGACAAAACCACACCTTTAAAAAAAAAAAATACACATGGCTTTTTTTTTAGTCTTTGGGGATGATGGGGCCTCTAATTCTTGAATTTGGTTTCCTTAGTCCCCCATTTAACGCTCCCATCTTTAATTACAGCATCAGGAAGAGGTGTGTTTGCCTGGGCACCTCCACCTCACTCCCCGCTAAATGAACGTCGGGCTCGAAACGAGCCCCCAGCCCTGCTCCCCGGCGCGTGGCTGAGCTGTGATCTATTTGAACGGATTAACGAGCTTGTAAATCTGCAAACAGGATTAGAGACGAGAGCATCTTCCGTGAGCTCCCCCTCCTCGTCCGAGCCCCCGCCTCCTGCCCCAACGCCTGGGGACCAGGCGTTTGGTTTTTTTTTTTTCCCAAATCTAAATAATAGGAGTAAACTGGGTGTAAAGGGGATGTAGCTCCTCGGAGAAGCCGCTACAGAGAATTGCTGGTGCGTTACGGGTACCCAGCGCTAGCGAAGTTGCTCTTTTCCCCATCGCAACTTAATTCTGCTTTGTAACTGGTTGCGGCGATTGGGATAATTTTTTTTTTTTTCTTTTCTATTCCTTGGTGGGTTTCTCCCTCTTTTTATTTAAAAAGAGAAAAGGAGCGTTGACCAGGCAGGGCTGCTTGGCTTTAATTGGGTGTTTATCCCTGTTTGTCCCCATCGGCAGCTGCAGGTGGGTGCTCTCTGCTGTGAGCATCCTCGGCCCCATCCTGAGCATCCTCAACCCTGGTGAGCAACCTGCCACCGAGGTGGAGCCTGGGGCAGCAGGTGTTGCCCCAAGCAATGAGTATCGCACAGGGATGCTTCGGGAAGATTTTGGGACCAGTTAGATGTGAAATCAGATTCACAGCAGGATCAGTTCAGGATCAGCGCTCCTGCATCCTACAGGCTGCTTCGACTCGGCTCTGGGACCTCCAAACCCACCGCCTAGATGCCTTCCAGCATCCTTGAGAGTGTGGAGGGGTAAAAACCCATCCCTTGCAGCCGTTTCTCTGCCCTAAGCTCGTGTTTCCAAGCTGACCTCTGCCACCGCTTGTTGGGTCAGAGGAGACGTTTCCGCTGCGGGCCGGGGACCGGCGCAGGGTCTCCCGACTCCTGTATTTATACATCCTGCGCAGTGCTGGGTAATCAGAAAATGCAATATCGCTGTCACCAGCTCTCCGAAGACATCCAGCCTGAGTAATTTAACATGTCAGCACCATCCATCACGGAGACGCAGCCGGCAAACAAACGCGGAGCGGCCGGAGGGGGCTGGGACGGTGGCTGCTGCCTGCGCCGGCTGCCCGGTCACGTCAGCGGGGTGCCAGAGCGGAGCAAACACCAGACGTTGCCACCTCTGTCCACCCTTACCAACCATCTGCCTGCCCAAAAGGGACCAGGTTTGGCTGGTTGGGAAGGGTGGCAGAGGGATGTGTCACGTCCTGCCTGTGCAGGCAGTGTCCACATCCCTCTCCTGGGCACACGAGCCGGAGGGCAAGTGTAGGGTATGGCATCTGGGAAGGAATAACCCCATGCACCAGTATAGGTCGGGGGCTGATCTCCTGGAGAGCAGCTCTGTGGAAAGGGACCTGGGAGTCCTGGTGGACAACAGGATGACCATGAGCCAGCAATGTGCCCTGGTGGCC